CATAACAGGTCATCAAATAGTTGCACATGTTTTAGTCACTTAGCAATTTAGATTAAGAGATTTCTTAAAAGATATAATCGATTTTAATTTGGTTTATTTAATTGATAGTGTATGTACTTTTGTACATGATAGAGTATGTATTTTTACTTTCTAGTCCAGAATAGCACTCTTTCCTCAAAAGATGCAGTTGTGCAAGTGAACACTCCAAAAGTGCTTACATTGTATGAAATCGTTAATGACATTAAATTAAAAAACTGTACTTGTGTACATAACTTCACTATTTATAACTGTATAGTAAATATGACTGAAAATTATATTAAGGACAAACGAGTTCATAGGTAAACATTCGACAGCGGATAATGTTAGTTCTTACAAAGTTTAAGTTAAATTTGACTTATGCCACTTTGGGTTCTTTGTTTGGTATAACAGCTGACTTAACAAAAACTTATATTTATAAATTAATACCTATCTTGAGCCACAACTTACGGCCTTTGGTGTATTTTCCCACCAAAGGAGAAATTCTTAAAAACATGTCACTTTGTTTTGCTGATTTTCAAAATGTTAGGCTAATTTTGGACTGTACTGACATTTATGTACAGACTCCAAGTGTTTGTGTTGCCGAATACTATTTTATTCTCAATATAAATCCCATTTAACAATTAGTTTATGATTGGTGTTTCACCTGGTGGGTTAATAACTTACGTCTGTGAATTTTCCAGTCAAAATAAGATAACCGAGTTTAAAACTTGTTCTCCTTCTACAGCACATCTTGAATTTTTAGTACCACCCAAAAACTTACATATATTCTAAGGCCCATATTTATAAACGATGCTCAAGTATGGATCGATACTTGAGATCGACCTTGAATCAAATTTGTGTTCTATAAACCGTTCTCAAGCACGAAGTCGAGCTTGAGAAGGCAAAAATGACAGCTCGTACTCAAGCATCCGATCGACCTGCCTTGAGTACGGGATCCTAACCTAACTTGTTTGTTTATATTTATGAATATTTCCAATACAATATTTTCTTTGTTTTTTGAGATTAATATTGTCGTTCAACATCCAGGATAAAGTATTGGTAGCTTATTATTTGATCAAAGTTGATTAAAAGTTAGAATGGAAAGAGGGCAAATTCCAGAATTATTATGAATAGTGAATATGTATGCAGTGCAGACACAATCTACTTACTCCAGTATTATAGCCAGGTATTTATTGATAATTGGCCAAATAAAAAATAGATTATTTGATAAATACATCTTTTTAGGCAATGATCAACAAAATAGATATAATAATAGTACACATGTAATGTGTAAATGGATATTTGGAACCTGGAAAATATGGTTTCCCTGTCTGCAATGAGGCCTACAAACCAAATTAAATACATATCTTGCATAATAAGTGCTACAGCAGTACTTTGCAATATATGTTTACAGGAAAATAATGATAGTGATGATGATTTTCTAGAAAGTAGTAAATAGAAACTTTAATGATGTGGAATGAGGTTTAAATTTTAGGAGACATTTTATTCACCAATGTTATGCATGGGAATGTAAATACAATATTGAATACTTATATTATGTATGTTCTACCTTATTTCTCAAAATGTCAGAATGATTATCATTACTTGATTACACTTTTTGTTGTTTTTTTTATTTTATATCTTATCTTTGTTTAATTCAAAGTTGTTGATTTTGAGAATTAAATACCTATATTATATTAGATATAGGATACATCTAATTAACAGAATTAAATACCTATATTATATTAGATATATTATATTAGATATAGGATACATGTTTTTGTCTTATTTATAAAAATGTGTTTTAATTTTAAAATAAATGAGGGTTTTCCCTCACTATGCTCAGACAACTCAAGTAAGTATGTCTTCTCTGAGTACAAGGAGTTTCCCTCATTTTAATTAAGTGTTTATTCCTTTCATAAAACCTTTCCTTACCAAATAAAAATTAATACAAATTTAGAATATTAATATTCTTTATTTAAAAAATTATAGTTATAATTAAATAAAATGTAAAATAGATTATTTTATTTTATAGCTTTATCAGGAGTAAACTGTACAACAATTAGAACATTACAAAAATATAAAGTAATTATATATATATATATATATATATATATATATATATATATATATATATATATATATATATATATATATTTAAAATATATTCAATGGTTGAATATCAGAGGTTTTATCAGTCAATAATTGGCAAATAAAAGTCGTCAACTACTTTATTGATTTATTTGAATACGTTTCGCTTTTATTTTTAAAAGCATCATCAGTTCACTACAAATAAAAAAGATTTTTTAAAGGATGTTATAAAAACTCTATAATAACTTAACATTAAAGATTACAAACTAAACAAGAGAAACGAGACAAAAAAATACAAGAAAAACAGTAAGAATACTATTGTTCATTTAATTTTAACCGATGGCTTCATGTGAATGCTAGTTTAAGCTCTTTCGAGGATGAAAGATATATATATATATATATATATATATATATATATATATATATATATATATATATATATATATATATATATATATATATATATATATATATATATATATATATCGAAGTAGCAGCAATTTATTACAAATTTTTAATAATTTTCTGTAAAGAACATAAAAATATTCTGAACTATGTATTGCAATCAATACTTAAAAAAACTGAAAAAGAAACATACATAATCAAAAAACAAAAGACTATACAACAAATAAAAAGGTAAAACCATATCTTACCAGCAGAAATTAAAATATTAACAATCTTAAATCTACATTAAATACTATCTAGAAATAAAATAAACAGGAACGAGAATAGAAAGAAAATAAACATGATTTTACAACACAAAGTATATTTTTTTTGTCTTTATAGAGGGGGGAGGGTCTGAAATCTTAAGACATCTCAGTCCAGGATGCCGCCTGACTGACCTTAGTGCAGGATTCATTCTTCGTAGTTCCGGCGATAGTTCCTGAGGTACTTTAAAACATCCTCTCTTCGCTGATTCTACGTCAAATGCCTACCTGCTAAAACAGACCCTACTCTGACATTCAGTGCTCCTAAAGTGAAAAGGCCACTGAAAGACCGAGTTAACACTTTCCAAACACTATCTTCAGTTGGGAATAATCCACAATGTTTTGTATGTTATAGTTACTGATGTTTTAATCTCTATGACCAGATATTGTTACCAAAAATACAAAATTGTGATTTATTTTCAGAAAATAAATCACAATTTTGTATCTATGATAACAGCCTCTGGTCATATAGATTGAAAAATATCAATAAATAAACATATTATGGCTTATTTCTACATTTTCCCTAAAACTGCAGAGTATCCAACAAAGGAAAAAGATCTTCTAGCGCCTGAAAATAAACAATTAATTATAGACAAATTCCAGTGACAAGTCAAACATGATAAAATCTATAATTACCCTTTTTATAGTCTATTAACTTCAATGAAGCTAATTCAGCTTCATCAATAGCTCTCTGCCTCTCCTTCTCAGCTGCTTCTCTTAAGGCTTTTGCTTTCAGCATATCTTCTTCTAAAATCTTCATTTTCATCCTATGAATCTCGTCTTGCTGGCTGATGGTATAATCAGGCAGCAAGATGTTGACCTCAGGTTGGCAGTTACCAACAGTTTGTCCTTTTGTTCTCTACCACAGCGTTTTCTGTTACCAGCTGAATTAGGAGAACTTTTTCCTTTGTTGAGTAAGGTGCATATTTACTGCTATTTCCACTCATCTAAAATTTACATAACCAATTTATTTAGCGTACGGCTTACACATGCAATATAATTATAATGATTGTAACGCATTACATACATATAAATATATCCAAAAACAAATATACATAAGCATATATTTTGAACATCAAAAATTATGCCTCAAACACAGTAACAAAATAGAAATTAATTCTGTAGAATAAATATTTTTTATAACATATTACATACCTTAAAATAGTTAATATCCAGTATTAATTTCAAACACAAAATATTAATATCAAACACAAAATTTCAGTAAGTAGCATAAACTAAATTTGGCGCTAAAAGTTTAGTCACAATTATGAGAAAATTGACAGAATCTTCTTTTTTTCGATGTTTATTCGTAATTTACTTTTACCGTACTAATTTTTTCTCGCTTGAGATCAAACTTGTACGAGAATACCCGAAGTATCGTTTATAGAACACAACAAATACTTGAGCATGACTTTGACGTAAGTTCGACTTGGCCAAGCACGTTCTCGAGCACGATCTTGAGTACCGACTATAAATACGGGGCTAAGATATTTAACTTAAGGATTAAAAAATAGAACTTTAAGTTCTTGTTAACTCGTTAACTCTAACAAGTCTATAACTAAAATAAAACTTATAATTAACAAAATTGTCTATGTATTAATCAGTAGGAATAAACAATAGTCAAACAAAAAATATTGAATTTAAAAAACCATGGATAAATGAACAAAACTACTCCAAAAACATAAAACTAACGCAATCGCAATATACAAGATGAGGTGTAAACAATTATTATAATGGCTCTTAGCTCGGTTCAAATTGATACCGCATTGGCGCTGCGATCTTAATCCGAATAGTCAAATTGAGTCAAAATATTATTTTGCTGTGCAAAAGTTTTTAGCATCAACAAGGTCTCAAGTGTAGTTCGTGAATGTACATCATAAGATTTAATCTGCTTGCTTAGATTGCATATGCTTATTATTATATGGTACAGTACGTGCAGTATTATAGGACTAGAACAGTAGAACTTCAGAACTTTTAAACATTTGACTTTAATTTGTTTTTTTTTTCTCCTTTAATTATTGTTGCAGGTTTAGGAGCAATGAGCTTAAGCCTAGATGTACCTTGTACGGCTCTTGAACATCCAGTATAAATACACAGATCCTGGCCGGATAGCCCTGGCAGCTAAGGCCAATCAAATGAATGAAAGAAGAAGAAGTATTTATCTATGGAACTGACATTGACATTGATCAATCAAAACCAAAACAAATTGAATATTTGCAAATAGTATGTTCATTATTCATTAACTATGGGGAAAAAGAAAAGTGATTCCTCTTCCAATTTAGGAAAAAGTCTAATTAAAGACAGATTTGGTAGTACCAAGGGTAAAAAAATGGTCAGCAATAATTCAATGGTGAGACTTAACAATATTTAATTTAACCTCAAATTACCATGTGAATTTATTTTTTTTTTAGTTACATACTACTGAAATTCAAGACGGTTACGATTGGGGTCGTCTTAATTTACAATCTGTTACCGAAGAATCTTCATTTCAAGAATTTCTTTCTACTGCAGAATTAGCGGGCACAGATTTTCAAGCAGAAAAATTGAATATTAAATATGTAAATCCTAGATCCAATGCAGGATTGTTGACCAAAGATGAACTTAGTGCGGCGAAAATTGCTCAAAAGACACATAAAGATGCCGTTAAGATTCCAAGAAGGTAAATATTTGTAAATTGATTTTATACAGTATGTAATTCCAGAAATGTTTGTCTTTAGTTTGATGTCCCATATTTTGTTCAAATGTTACACCAAAGAATATAGAGACATATGCGTGTATATTCTTTGGTTACACTACTAGCTACTACTACCTAATGAAAATCAAGTGATTGATTAAAACTAGAAAAAGTCAGGTCAGGTTTTAAAAAATTAGTTCATTTTGTTCACAGAAAAAATGTGTATAGTATTTATAAAGTCAGTTGAAACATTTCTCTCCAACTCGATTTATAAGGGCAGTTCAATATTACATTTACCGGTAATCAAGTTAAAGTATAAATAACATGCGTCAATCTTTGAAACGTATTTGAACAATCCCCTTACTTCGTAGGAAATAGATGGAAGAAAGATACATCCCATCAAATAAATATTGGACATTGATATGTTATTCAAAATCACCAATATTTAACACGCTACTTGGAGGTCCCCTTCTAGCCGGTGGCGAAGGGTACAGATAAGAAACGCTGCCGATGCATGCCAGTGCTGTACAGCAAAAATGTTTATTATTTTACGAAGTATAATTAAATAATTATACTGTCAATATAGCCTATTGTCATTTAATTATAAACTATTTTTGTTGCTTAATATGATATGTTTAAAAAATTTTTATACACTTATGTACTTTACGACAGCTTTAAGTAAATTAAAATTGTCCTTTTGCTGTTCTACATTAATATATATTTGATTATAAAAATAAATGAAGCGCCCATGTCTGGTAATATGATATTATTCTTTTATTGTTTGTCGGTAAGCAGGTTTTTGGATGTTTCAACTGACTTTATAAATACTATAGTTGGCAAGCAAAAGCAGACAAGTCCAAATTGAATTTTTTTCAGTAAGTTAAAAAATCATCTTAAAATTAAGTGCATTAGTTCATGTAGTTTTTATTAACCCTTAAACGGGTGTAGAAACAAATAGAACTCTAGAAATAAATTACAATGCATATATCTTATACATTTATTTAAAAACACAAGAAAACAACATTTTTTTTTGTTTAAATAAACACAAAAAAACTTATGAGTTGTATCTCACAAGATACAATGTCCATTAAATCATTTCTTATGATAGAGTGTGAAACAATTTCTAGACTTTTTTCCTGAGACCAGACATAAACGAGTTTTACATTTTTTGCCATAAACTGTAGTCTGTCCATCTGTACACAATTTACATCTACCTTTATCTACTAAACTTGGAAAGTGACCTATGTTGTCAAACCGAACGTCATCTGTTGGCAGAGGAGCTACTGGATATTTAATTTTTTTCTTTGGTTGTTGCTCTGCACTTGAACACCGCGATTTTCTGATATGTTTTGAAAGAATAATGGATCTTCCAATATTGACGCGAATTTTTTTTTTAATTCATGTCTTTTTCCCAATGCTTCCATATCTCTACAATATAGCAACCAAGCATTATTCACTGCTATATCAATGAGTTGGCTGAATATGCAAAGATACCACCTTCTTGATTTGAATAGTGTTTTACCTAGTGATATCAGCATACCAGATAGATCAACACCACCCATATTTTTATTATATTGCTTCACTACTTGAGAACACTGCACAGCAACCTTTTGTTTTTGTTTCTTACTATATCGTTTCACTTGAATTACGGGGCTGTGGGAAATGTATGAGCTAGTAAAAGTGACACATTTAGTATCGGCCCACTTGACTACTGCTATACTGTTTGTGTTGTCAACTTTGTAATCGAAACTTCCTCTGCCTTTTTTGAGGAGCGCTTTGTCTGTTTCAAGCGTACAATTTCGTAGTTGGTTACTGCAAACAGTGCCAAAACTCAACAACTGTTTCTCGTTCTTTAGGTATTTTATGCTCTCCAAAGAGCAGAAAAAGTTGTCAAAATAAACCACAGATTCGTTCAGATTTGCAATTGTTTTACATAAATATATAACTACTTGAGCCATGAGCCCCAATGATTCTTCATAACTTGAAAATGGTATATTGTTAAAAGTGCTCAAACCTGTGTATACTAAAAAGTTGTAAACAATACCTGACACTCCTGCGTAAACAAACATTTTCAGTCCCCATTTTTTAGGCTTTTTGGGTATATATTGACTAAGTTACCTGCTTTACTTCCGGTATACGCTATCATCATTTCTCAACAGAAAACAGTGTCTCTTGTTTCAAAGACAAACATTTTTGTGTACTTTTTCTAGTATGGGCCGAATTTTGAACAATCTGTCGCAGTTTGCATCCATGTTATTATCTTGAAAGTGTATGAATCATCTAAGCTTTTTGAATATCTTCACTGGCATTACTTCAGCGATTGTTTCATGTCAAGTTTACATCACCCATTAGCATCTCCATGCCCACAAAAGATACTAATATGTTATAGTAGGATATGTTTAATATTTAATATGATTCAAAATGAAAAAAACAAATGTTAAATATGTTAAATTTTGATTGACTTGTCCAGTTAGATACATATTTCTTTATTTATTTATCATATAAGGCTCAAATGAAGTGCAAATTTTAAATTAAAAAACAAACCTTACTATTGCCTAAAAACAACATCATCATCATTTTGGCTTTACAACCCTGTGTGGGTCCTAGCCTCCCCAAGAATTCTCTTCCAGTTGTCCCTATCCATCGCCTTCCTCCGCCAAACATGTATTTCCATATTTCTCATATCTTGGTCTATGTTATCTAGGAATCCTGTATTCCAGAGCTAGATTAAATAGTATACAGGAGAGTGGGTCTCCCTGACGTAGCCCGTTATTTGTATTAAAAGGTTCGTTCCCCTGCATTCAACTTTTTCAAGGGTTAGTTTGGTTAGACTTACCAACTGATTTGGTACTCCCAGGTCTATCATTGCTCTAAACAATTCTTTTCTATTTACAGAGTCATAGGCTGCCTTGTAGTCTATAAATATTTGGAGCGTGTCTACACTGTATTCCAATGTTTTCTCTAGAATTTGTCTCAGGGTTAAAATCTGATGAATTGTTGATTTACCACCTCTGAAACCAGCCTGGTATTGTCCTATTATTCGCTCTGCATACGGTGCCATACGATGGCATAGTATATTGGAGAATATTTTAATAGTTTAAATTTAAAATAAAAATAGTTTAAATCATACAGCTATCAGTTTTGAACTAGTGTGTGAAGAAAATTTTGATGTTATGAATTACGAAGAATACTTTTATGATTTCAAAAATGGTGACTACTTTTCAATAAATAATTATTTAGCAAGTATAAATTGGGAGGTACTGTTTCTTAATGGTACAGTTGATAGTATGGTGGTCATTTTTTATGATATAATTTACTCACTGATAGAACACTTTGTTCCACTAAAGAAATATAAAACCTCTACCTTTCCCTCTTGGTTCTCGTCAGAGCTGCGTAACGTAATTATATGTAAAAAACAGGCCCACAAACAATTTAAAATTAGTGGTAGGCAAGAGCGGCTCTTCGTAACATCAACCTCGGAGAACTCTTCATCCATTTTTTTTTTGTAGAACATTTTTATTGTGTCTTCTGTTTTTAAATAGGACAGACAACAAATCTGACGCCAGGGAATCTTGTCCACATTTTAGGAGTTTGACCCGAAATTCTTAAAGTGGAAGAAATCTTGGAAGTTAAGGTTTCTTACCTCAAATGGCCTTGGCTTTAATCGAACACCTCTTATTATTTGAGCCCAACCTTCAGGTGTGTATTCTTCTTCTTCTTCTTCTTCTTCTTGATGTGCCTATCTGTTACGAATGTTGGCGATCATCATGGCAAGCTTTATCTTATCTGCAGCAGTGCGGAAAAGCTGCACAGATGTTGTATTGAACCAGATTCTGAGGTTCTTTAACCAAGATGTTATTCTTCTTCCTGGACCTCGTTTTCCAAATATTTTTCCTTGCAGGATGGCTTGAAGGAGAGCAGATGTGTATACTGGGACATATTTTGATATTTTTGTTCAATCTTAGAATGAATTGAGTCACATTCCATTTCAGTATGACCAGATTCAAAAAATTTATGGCTAATTTCCGTCAAACTAGGGTGAATTGAGAGCAACTTTATGCACATTCCAACGAAATAACCATTTTTTTGTTGTCCGCCACACCCATCAGACATCATCCTAACTTTTGTAATATTTGGATGTGATAAAACATAGTTATAAATGCAAGACGATATCTCATTTGAGCCCCTTTTTCCTTGTGATTCGTCGCAAAGATTTGGTTTCCCAGATTGTAAATTGTAAACTGCGAGTTTACGCAAATAAAATGTTTGATATTGTAGGCATTTCTTGCAATGGTCTTTCTTAGGTTTGAAGAAACCTAAATGGTGCTATTTAAAAATTTGCCTGTCATAATGTTTAATATGTACACATTATTTCTTGTACATATTAAACATTATTGAAATGTTCAGAGAAGAATCCAAATATTTTTTTTAGATGAAGAGCTACAGTAGTGAGAGTAAACTGCTGGAAAAGATCGGATATGCTCACGAATTCGGTTTTCCTCACCAGATTTCAATTTGTTAAAAGGAATATGTTTATCACGTCTATCCTTTTCAACAGTGCCACTTGAGGAAACTTTTTGAAGTGCTGTACGCATAAATGCATCCGTAACATTTAGTGGTTTCATAGAAAAATAAAAGACATACTTTTCTTTTTTCCCCATGAATAGAAAAATTGTAGGTCATAGTAAAATTACGTCTTGAATTCTCAATATTTCTTGTTACTCTTTTTTTCTGCTTTTTATCAATACAGTGAACTTAAAAATTACGCTGCTCTTCAATTGAGGTTATTTGGCGGAATTTTTCGTAGATAAGACATCGTTCTTCTTCACTAACAAATGTTTCAGATTTATGTTTTATATTTGCAGAACACGAAGACTTATTGTCTAAAAATATTACGTACGCTAAGTAAAATTATTAACCAAATTTTATAATTTATTTACCTGTCTCCTCTTTACTAGAACTAGAACTGCTGGAACTATAACCCGAATTGCTGGTACTAGAACAAGTATAATAACAGATACTAGAAGTTGAGTTGTCGTCTTCAGGTTCATAATTGTCTGAGGAAGAGACAGAATAAGGGTCCTCTATTAGCTCGTTTTCTTGTTCTGCTTCGATATAACTGCCTACATTGGTGATATTCAAAGCGCCAGTTTCAACTTAAAAAACAGTAATAAAAAATAATTATTCAACAAGCACTGAGTATAGGTATAGATACCTTCTGCAGTTTTTACAAGACTTTTATCTATTTATCTACTTTCTTTTTTATCACTTATAGAAGAATAATTCGTAATGCAATTTTCCAAAATATCTTCCTCGATATCTTAGGCAACAGATGTATCTTCTTTTTCTGTGGATGTATCCGGCTTGATGGACAAGTCATTACGGTTGATATTTGGACACTATAGTATAAATAAATAAGTTTCTTTACTATTATAGTATTAATAATAAAAATATTTACAAGAGTATGAAAAGCTTTTTCTGAAAAATTCTGCATCTTACGAGTTGTCTCATTGCCCAGTTATTAAAATATTTTTCTAGTATGAGAATTCATGTTGAGATAATTCAATTTGTACGGCACATACACACCAGAATATTAACGTTTTGATTCACAACGAAATATTTCACGATACGATAATAATATTGTATTATGTTCAACTCATGAAAGTATCAGTGTCAAAAATTTGCAATGAGAGAGTCACGAATGTGCCACATTCATAAATCGCTAACAAAATTCTCGATATTCACGATAAATACGTTTCGACGGAAAGAGGCAGACTGACATTAGTGAAATCGAATGCGTTTTTCCCCCACCTATTATTATTTCTTGCATGTTCGTGATTATGGCATTGCACAGTTGTGTTCAGGATTGTTTTAGTGGTGCACATAAGTCAAAAACGCAGATTTTGCACATTCGCGGTTTTGGTCTTGTACCGACGTTATTATACTGTTCATGTTTTTACATCTTTTTTTATTGTTATACCAGCTCCATCCACTTAATCTATTTAATGTTATATTTTAGACCACCTTGGAATAGTGAAACCAGTCCAGAAGAATTACATAGCAACGAAAAAGAAGCATTCTTAGAATGGCGTAGATCACTTGCTATGTTACAAGAGGAACAAGGTATTGTACTAACTCCTTATGAGAAAAATTTGGAATTTTGGAGACAACTCTGGAGAGTTGTAGAAAGAAGTGATGTTATTGTTCAGATAGTAGATGCCAGAAATCCTTTGTTATTTCGTTGTGAAGATCTTGAAAAGTATGTTAAAGAAGTTTCATCAGATAAGATGAATTTAATATTAATAAATAAGTCTGACTTCTTAACAGAAACACAAAGGAAAATTTGGGCTGATTATTTCAATTCAATTAGAGTTCAAGCAATATTTTACTCGGCTCATTTATCATTAAGTGATGTGCATGAGGATGAAGAAGATGGTGAATCAGAAAAAGAAATTGAAGAGAGTTCAGAAAACATTGAAACCGAGATTAATATCCTTAAAGAAAGTATAGAAAAAATGAAGACTGCTGTAGAAGAAAACGCTCAAACTCTAAACTGCATTATTAATAAAATTGAAACTATTGTGGGAAAATCTACTTTGGACAGGTATTTAGATAATTCAAGCCACTTATTTAATAGGACAGAACTTATTGAAATTTTGAAGACCATACATACAGGACCTAAGGTAATTATGTTTATCAAAGTAATTTTTGTGAGCATCTTATATATTTTTTAAAAACTTCTTATGTAAGGTATTCTAAACACATCAATCACATTTCTAAACCCATTTTATTTTGATATCCTACTTCTACAGTATATTATAAAAGGATTTTTGGTCGAACCAAATCATTTTATTTACAGTAAATTCGTATTTGTACTATTTGAAACCCTTAAAACTTTCATATTGCAGAAGAAGCTTAACCACTATTGTTTGGGAAGTATATAGTATTTATTAGCATATTTCTACGGCCTCGCGTTTTGCTTCGTTTGTTAACCAACCGTCAAATTTATTTTGTTGCTTTAGACAACCACTTCTTCAAATACCAACCTTTCTAATTTGCTACACAAACATATTTAATGTTCCCGTCTATTTCTTTCTACATAGTTGATACATATCCAATGTTTTCGGCATACGCGTATCTTAGAATGCGTATCCTGCTAGATACAGGTTCCACAGCCAATTATATTTCAGTGATTTACCAAATCACGGATTTTAGTAATCAGATCTTTTAGACATACTCATAGGGGTTGAATTGGTTCTTCGTTTCGTAAATTCTGGTCAAAATTATTGGCAAACCAAATCATCCTGTGGTCTTAGAAATCATTTTGAATTATGTTCTATAAGAGCGAGTCTATACAACTTATTCTATATTTTATTTCACATCTTTCGTTACTTCTCTGTATACAAACATAGATATCTTCTACAAAGGTTTTGGGAAGTCGAAAACAGTAGGCACCTGTTAGTTTTATTTATTTATTTATTTATTAACGGATATACCATTTACATTGGAACAAAATATAATATATAAAATTTTTCAAAGTAAGCATAACATTGGAAATTAATTAGTAAAGTTGTTTAACAAAAACTAATAATTAACTTGAATACAAACTAATATCACACAAATAGCAGTCTCTTTATCACATTTTTAAATTATTCTAACGACTGAAAAAAATAAGTCCAGATCACTTTGGTACCTATTATAATATAGTCTCACCATATGAGTAAGAGGCTTGAAGTATTCATAATTAATTTGATGAAATATTAGATGAAAGAACGAAGTCTGCCTAGTTCCATGAAGAGTGTTAACACCTAATCGATTTAAAAGTTCAGGGCAATTTATCAAATTATTAGCAATTTTGTAAAAGATATTAGGCAAAAATAATCTTTTCGCTGATTCATAGAAACCATTTTCAAGTGATGAGCTATCATACTATAACTGTATGGGACAGATAGGTCATGAAAGGCACTACGGTAATGATAGTGTTTACCAAATTTATGCTGAAGACGATCAAGCTTGTCTATAGATGTTTGATAGTAAGGTCCCCATACAACTATTGAATATTTTAGTCTGGAGCGAAGGAGACTATTAAAAAGAATTGGTAAAACAAAACATGAAAATTAAAAAGTGTTTCTAGTTATAAACCCTAATTGTTTAAATGCACTGTTTACTGTGACCTCTAGATGCTTACGAAATGATAATTTACAATTAAAATAAACACCTAAATCCTTAACACAGTCCTGCCTAGACAGCTGAGTGTTATCAATGCTATAAACGTAATTTAAAATTAAAAAAAAATTGTTTAAAATCCTTTATAAAAGGTATATAAAAATGCCCCAAACGGGCTATCACAAACACATTGCAAAACGTTTTCGGATTAATCAATCCATCATGAGTGCAAACCTGAAAGTATATAACCACTTTAATTAAAAAGAACGTTAAATTAAAATGTTAACAAAGGTTAGAGCAAAATGTGGTTAATACTTACGGTTGTACATGCTAGTAGCCACCAAAATATATGGGTCAAAACCCTTTAAATGTTTTAAATTTGTAGTTGTTTTACATTATTAGTAGTTATAATTTGTGATGTTTAAATTACCGTTGGATAGGTAACATGGCGGCGTATGACTCTACATGAGTAAAATGGTCCTGAGACGAAGTGTCTACGAGGACCTGTTGATAACAACTGATCAAAATGACATTGTTGACATGTTAGGACGGATGTTGTGTCAGAGCAGTCAGTGTAACTTTCGGTAGTTGTCTAAAAATGACAGATGTCAGCCTTATTTAAAATTGAAAAAGTTAAAATTATAATAATGTAACAGTATCAACCATCAATATTGTAATCTGTATTGTAAATTAATCAAATAGCTATATTTGAAACATTGAAAATTGGTTTTTTAAAAATTAATGTGGGTCAACTGGAATTTATGAAATTTTGTAGGATTGATAGGCAACCAACTATACATGTGTAAGGATCTATTTTAAGCTAAAGATTTTGTCAAAAGGCCCTGTATGTTGTGAGACATTTGGTACCTAGAAAATGGTAAAAAGGTACATGTGGGAAGATGGGTCCTAAAAGATTTATTATTGAGTATTGATGTAGTAGGTGGAGGTGTGTTTAGATATGTTGTTGAGCTGAAATGTAAATATGATAAGAATGTGATCATAATGTGGTGTTCGTGTAGTACTCAACTTAAAACTTAAGTATGGAAGGCCCTCTATGTCAAAAAACTACATTTGGTACCTAGTAAAGATAAATAAAATATTTTTAAGTTATAAGTACGTGAACATGAATTACTGGTTATGTGTGTAAAGTAAAGATGGTAGGTTGTTTATGTGTGTGGGCAAGTATGCCAGACTAACAGAAACTTGATGGCTGAAAGATGGTTAGGTGTGATATTGTTCCTATATTGCTCAAGTTATAACTCAAGAAAACAAAAGGCCCTATATGTTAAAAGAAACATTTGGTGCCTAAGAAATATAAAAGTAAAAAGGGATGAGTTATAAGTTAGAGTGTAGGTAGGTGTAAAGTTAATAGGCTTATGGAGTGTATTGTGACAATATGTGGAACTGTAAGAGTAGTTGTGTTTAAGGTGGATCTATCAAGTTTACTAAAGATGTGTGATGTTTAAATGTTATTGTGAAGATGAAGGGGAAAAACTACAAAAGACTGAAGACCCCAGAGACCCGAAAACCAAACCCTGAGGGAAATCTTCAGGGTCCTTGCACATGTATAGTTGGTTGCCTATCAATCCTACAAAATTTCATAAATTCCAGTTGACCCACATTAATTTCTAAAAAACCAATTTTCAATGTTTCAAATATAGCTATTTGATTAATTTACAATATTGATGGTTGATACTGTTACATTATTATAATTTTAACTTTTTCAATTTTAAATAAGGCTGACATCTGTCATTTTTAGACAACTACCGAAAGTTACACTGACTGCTCTGACACAACATCCGTCCTAACATGTGAACAATGTCATTTTGATCAGTTGTTATCAACAGGCCCTCGTAGACACTTCGTCTCAGGACCATTTTACTCATGTAGAGTCATACGCCGCCATGTTACCTATCCAATGGTAACTTAAACATCACAAATTATAACTACGAATAATGTAAAACAACTACAAATTTAAAACATTTAAAGGGTTTTGACCCATATATTTTGGTGGCTACTAGCATGTACAACCGTAAGTATTAACCACATTTTGCTCTAACCTTTGTTAACATTTTAATTTAACGTTCTTTTTAATTAAAGTGGTTATATACTTTCAGGTTTGCACTGATGATGGATTGATTAATCCGAAAACGTTTTGCAATGTGTTTGTGATAGCCCGTTTGTGGCATTTTTATATACCATTTATAAAGGATTTTAAACAATTTTTTGTGATATATGGTATACAGCCAGCTACAGGAACTTAGTTTCCTCGTGGAATTTTAATTTAAAATTGTTTGCTTCCTGTGAAAAGTAATAACACAACACTTATCAATGTTCAATTTTAATTCATTTAGTTTGCACCAATCGCTAAATCTGCTGAGATCCTCTTGTAGCTGAATTTGATCATACTGAGAAGTAAAGACTATAAATTTTTTTATCATCCGCAAAGTTGAGAAATTTTGAATACTTAATGACTTTCTCAACATCGTTAACAAATAGGACAAAAAGTAGAGGACCACAATGTGAGTGGTACTCAAGAGAGGACGTCAACAGATTAAGACAACAAACCATTTATTTCAATGTTCTGGGTGTTACCCACAAGAAAACTATTATACCAATCAAGCCATTTGCCAGCTATACTAATGGCTCCTAATTTACTGATTAAATAACGATACTTTATCGAATGTCTTTGAGAAGTCAGTATAGATGCTTTCCACCTGCTACTTCCTCTCAAAGGCACCCAATATATCATCTTGGTAGACCAACAAGTTTGACACTGTGCTCCTCCCCCTCTAAAAGCCATGCTGTTGGGGTATTATATTATTTGTTAGTTTTGATAAGTGAGAAGTCACTAGCTTGTCGAGAAGTTTTGGGATTGCTGACTGTATACAAATTCCTCGGTATTTTTCAGTATCTTCCCTTTTACCTGACTTAAAAATGGGTACAATATAAAATGTTCTTTCAGAAAGAAGGGAACTCACCAGTCATAAGAGATAAATTATAAAGATCTTTTAGGGGCCTAGTAAGAGGGCATGGACAGTGCTTTAATAATACCGGTGGGATTACATCAGGCCCCGAGGAGAATTTTTTTGGAAGTTTTCTTAATTCATCAAACACTATAGTTACCTCTTGAATTAGGATTACAGGGTCAATGTGTCTGGCACAGTTTTTAAAATCTGGAATGGGAGCACCTTTATCTTTCTCATATACACTAGAGAAGAACTCAGCAAAAAGGTTAGCAATTTCGATATTGCCTTGTGCCCTTCTGTCACCGAGATACATTTCTTGGGGGTAACTCGAAGATTTACGAAGTCTGCCAATGTTTCCCCAAAATTCTCTGGGGTAATAACCCAGGGGTTATTACCTCTCTCTGGGGTTATTACTAATTTTTTTTTCAAGAGACGAAAATATTATTTCTGACAAAGTGTATGTTCAACTTTACATTGATCACGCAGAGTACAGAACAATAAGTAGTCCTCATTTGATTTAGATCATTTAAACCTCAGATGTGCTTTTT